ACCTTGAACAACAGCAGCAGCAGAATACCCCCTCGGGTGGTTCATTGGGTGCCCATTCATCCACGATCCAAGTCGTGGATCATATATATATATATGTGTGTGTGTGTGAACGCTGGATCGGAACCATATCATTACCGTCAAAACCGCCAAGAGCATATCTACCAAAGGAGTTGTTTATTTATGAGATGCATAAACATTTGGACAACAAAGAGAGCACATCATTACTATCAAGTCAATACGCATTGTATTGTGTTTTGTTTTGGATATGTATGCGTTTGTCATTAACCTGCCACCAAAACTGAGAGCAAGCAACAACAATAACTTACAATTTTTCATTCAAAACAATCAGTGAATGGCAGCCCCTCTTCGTGCTCACACTAGCAATTTTGCTCCATGAATGTTCCCTAGGGTCAAATCTTTCAGCAGATCTGAATACAAAGAAATTTTCGGTGTGAACTGTTGATACAATGTTTTCATTTTTGGTTCTGTGATACTAAACTCATCAAGCACGACACTTGTGCACCCTTTCATAGGTATAATTTTGTGTTTGTGTTGTGTACGTGTGTGAGCATGTCTATAGAAGGATGTTTTTTTTATTTTTATTTTTTTTAAAGGAGTAAAATGGAATTGTATATTACGTCAAATAATTGTTCCCATCATATCCACCACTAGCATAAATTGCACCATTAAAGTCCACAGCCGCAAGAGCAAAACGCTTAGAATACTTAATATTTATATAATAACAATAATTTGTAAAGTAAAAATTATAAAATATAAAAGTAAAAATTAAAAAAAATTACACATGCAATTTGTAAATAATAAATTATAAACTAAACATATATCACACACATAACTAATAATTTTTTCTCTCTTTGCACTCTTAGATGACAGTAAGTACTCATAACTTTAAATTTTGATTTTTTTTAGCTTTTTTTTCTTTTACTTATATTAGTAATTTTTAAATCATAGACTTTATTTATTGTATAGATGATGATTTTTTAACTTCAAACTCCATATTTAATACGATAAGAATCATAAGTCAAACTCTATATTTAATACTATTAGTCATTATGGTTTTTTACAAACCAAAATAGAGGATTAAAATGATTATGAGCATCTTCTTTGAAGGACTTTTATTTTGTTATTTAATTTATTTTCATTCTTTAATTTTTGAGTGCATATTTTTGGTTCCTTATCATTAATTATTTAATTGGGTTTAATTTTTTAATAATAAAAGAAACTAAGTTCTAAACATGAAACTGAATTTTATTTCTTTATTATTATTTTAGATTTGTTTAAGGTTAGATTATAATAAATAATATTTTATTAAATTTTTACTAGTTTTATTTAAGTTTAGATTAAAAATAAATAATATTTTATTAAATTTTAATTTTTAAAAATTTAAAACAAAATATCATTTAACAAGTATATAAATATATACTTACAAATTAATTGATACTTATTGAATTAAATATTAAGTATAAATCCTTAAATATCTAAATAAATATAAAATCTAAAAAATTATACTTAAAAAATTTTTAAATTAAATATTAAATATATCTCATACTCCATGTACCAAAAAAATGCTCGTCCCAAATCTAAAACACTATTTTAAATTTTTAATAAGTGATGTGGGATTTCGGGCCAGTCAATAAGCAGAGATGGGTCCTTTCAGGCAAAGCCTAGTAACACTGAGAGGTCCACCTTGCTACAAAGCCTAGCGTAATCCATGTTCTATGAAGCCTCTTATATGAACAGTTTCTTCAATTATTTTTGCTAGGAATCAGTAGTACCAATGCAGAGAGACACACATTGCAAGGAGCAACAGAATCAGGGTCATCAGCCCTGTATTTTGGGGAGGATTTTCACATTCAAACACGAAACCTAGCACGTTCTCTTCATTGCACCCTGCCAGTACAGTACCGTCTTTGATTTTCTATTCCCTTCTTCTCAGACCCCCTCCATAACCCTTAACCAGTTTCCAGTGCTTCGTAGACCAAAGGTCAGCTTACTCATTCACACACGCCAGCTGAATTCTGAAAACAAATTTATTGCGGGAATGATCAAAAGGGAAAGTATTATTGTTGTGTTGCAGTCCTGTGGAGTTGAAATATTGGCAATGTTTGAACTTTGAAACATGGGTGATGGGTCATGGGTCCTGTCATGTCTTAACCATCTGCATGCCCAATAAGGGTTTGATATTTTCCCCCAGTGAGGTACCTTTTTGTTTCTTAAGTATACTTCATTACGAAAACAAAAACTGGTTTTTATCTTGAAATCATATTGTTTATGAACATCTAGATTACCATGCATGTATTGTGGGTCTCTGATTGAGTTCCAAGATGGAAAGCTGTAATGATTTCAAAGCCAGAATACATGATACTACTCATGGCAGAAGACCATTCCGTAAAGGATAGGCAACAGTGTTAGATTACCAACCTTGAAAAGTACAACCATCTAGAACCTCAAAAGCCCATGCCACCATGCCAGCTTCATGTTTAATGGCGTATTTGCTTGGTAATTTTGTGAGAAAAACTGCAATCTTCAAAATTGTTCTCTCTTGAAAGCTTTTGTCAAGTGCTTCATTAGTTGACTATTGACTAATCAATGTTTTATTTTTGAAAGATTACTAACTAAACATGTCCTAAATGGGGACCAATTGACACTTGAATCTCCCATTAATTAGTCTTTTTCATTATAACAGTTTGCTTGCATTCATTTCAAGCTATGGAATTAGATTGGTTGCAAATTGCAATACCTCAGTCTTCAAGTGACATTATATCTTTTGAGTTTTGGCAATTTTTGTTTGAAATTCATTGCAAAATCTGGTTATATCCTTGGAATGGGTTTTTAGTGGGATGGCCTATTGTGATGCCTCTTACGTCTAAGGACAATGATATTCCTAAAGAAAACACTAATCTTTGGTTTGACAATGTTAATTTGTAACTATGGTTGCAATTTTTTTAATATTATAAAATTTTAAAAAAATATATTTAATATTTATTTTAATTAATAATTTATATATTTTAAAATAACGAAAAGATATAAAAATTAAAAATTAAATTATCGATAAGCCTTCTTAAACAAAGCTTTTGGCATGGGAAAGAAGATCGAGAAGATGTCTTTTTCTACTTTCTCCTTTTTCTTGTCTAAATGTTGACGTTTCTAATCCAAAATGAGCCTGAACCCTAATGTAAATTTGGATCTACTACCATAAAAAGCAATAATTAGTATATGTCACATTCTTGAAAATACTATTGTATTTGGTTTAAGTGAATTTTACAATTTGTAATGTTATTGTGTTTGGTTTTATATATTAAAGTATGCTCATTTTATTTTTTATTATTTGGATTATATATTATTGTGTCTGGTCTGATTAATAAATTTATAAAATTCATTTATAATTCCATTTTGATATGTAGACTATATGTGGTTTGGTTGAGGTTATGGTCATCACTAACTTTGTTAGGGTCACCAATTTATCATCAATTTTATCTATAATTTTATTGGTTTATAATTTTTTTAAACAGTTAATTATAATATTTAAAAATATCTATTTATAAATTAATTTTAATATATTAAATAATAAATAATTATTATTTTATAAGTTATCAATTGTTTTTAACAACCAAAATATTATAAAAATTAATAACAAATTGGTGGCCCTAACAAATATAGTGGTAGCAATAACCATTGTCATGTGGTTTTGTTGTAGTAGGGTTTCTTTGTTTGAACCATCATGGACGTATCTTCATGCTAAATTATGTGCACAATTAAAGATATACTCCTCATATAGTCATATTTATTGATGTATTTAAAATAAAAATTAAATATTGACAGTTAAATTGTGATTTTCAACTTATAAAACAATACTTGTGGGTAGAAGTAGTTCAGTAGTTATTTCTTTCTATTGAAAGTAAGAAATCCTGAATTCGAATCGCATAGCATACGGGTGAGGTAGAATAAAGGATAAAAAATAATTGTTTCTCATTGTACAACTAAGACAAAAAAACAATACTTGCTTACCTATGAATTAAATTATTAAGTAACTTATACGGTTAATTACTACTAGATATTAAAATTTCCAAACTCTACCATCATTGGCAATACTTATCCACTAGAAACATGTTCTATGAAATGATTAAGCAAAAGTTAAAAACTTCTTTGCTGAATTGCATGTGCCATGTTCGACAAAAGCTATTTGGTGGAAGGACATTTCCTTTTAGGAATAATTTGCTTTGTCCAGGCTAAGCATGTTTTCATTTGATATGTTGGAAATCAAAACAAAAATGTGGACCTTAATTTTCATTCCAAAGAAGAGACCAGGGCACGACAGTGGTTACCCTTTTACACCCTGATGATTAAAAGGTATTTAATCGGGTTCAAGATTGTGCACCAAGGTCAAAAGTAATGAGATGGACCAACCCAGGAAAACAAGAAAAAGAAAAGTAAAAGCAGAATTTTGAATCTAACATTTGAACTTTTCACGACTTCCCATAATTATGTGGGCTTAAACTTATCTCACCAAGGTACTTTAAAAAGTTTAAATATGGCCCTTTTCTGGTGTTCAGACAATGCTTAATTTCTCGAGATCCAGGAGATAAAGGATGAAAACGATTCACCATAGTCTTACTATTCCACAATTTTATTCATGTAATAGTAATTACAAATTAACTCTTTTATTTATTGGAATAAGATTCCAATGTTTAAATGTTATAAAATTATTATGAGACATTA